TCCATTGGAAAGACTCTTCTTGTGACTGCTGGCCAGTTTTGCCTTTCTGGAATACCACAAAGGAGCAGGGCAGGCTGCACTGGCCAGTGGCTGCAGTCCCAGTGCCTCTGACTCCTGTCCCCTGGCAGCTCCAGCTTGCTCAGCACTGTGCTTGCTGTGTGTCGCGGGTGTCAGTGAACGGGCATGATGGTGTGTGGGCAGGGAGCTGCATGGTTGCCGTGGCGGCCCCCGGCTCAGCTGTGCTCCTTCCACCTGTGTGCGCGGCTTGGGGTCACTGGTCTTGACTGCTGCTGCACTGGCACCCAACATCCCAGTCCCTCCCGCTCTGCTCTCGAGTCCACCCGGGCCTCCCACCTGCTGCCACGTGGGAAGCGCAGTGCTGGGAGGGGTTCTGGAGGGCTTTCTCTTCAGGCCGCAGCTCGGCGCGCGCTTCTGCCTGGTGAGGTGTGGCTCAGGGAACCAAGACCCACGCCGAGCCTGCTCTGGCTAGGGTTTCCTGCTTGTGCTGAGATTTTTTTTTCCAAATTAATTAGAGTGGAGTGTTCTATGGAGCCCTGCCGGGAGGTTGGACTCCGTTTTCCTCTTGTGGCCTTGTTGTTCTAGTCTTTATCAGGGTGTCCCCCTGGGTGTGGCCGTGGGGTTCCTTTTGACATGTTCGTGATCTGCTCCATTGTGGACCCCAGTGCTGCCCTGCCCTCCCCTCCTCCCTCCCCTGTTTGCTTTTGTCTACTCTCTCTTTCTATTCATTCATTTAAAAAATAACTTTTGTTTTAATTATTTATACAGGACAATAGAATGCATTTATTTACTTTGGTCTATCATACCTAAATGGGATATAATTTCTATTTTTCTGGTTGTACATGTTGTAGGATCACACTGGTCATTCAGTCATATATGTACTTAAGGTAACAATGTCTGTTTCATTCTACTATCCTTCCTACCCCACATCTCTCCACCTCCCTTCACTCCCCTCTACCTAATCTAAAGTAACTCTGTTCTTCCCCACTCCCCTTCCCCATTGTGAATTAGCATCCGCATATCAGAGAAAACATTTGGCCTTTGGCTGTTTGGGATTGGCTTATTATTTTTTTAGCATGATATCCTCTGACTCCATTCATTTACCAGCAAATGCCATAATGTCATTCTTCTTTAAAGCTGAGTAATATTCCACTGAATATATATACACAGTTTCTTTATCATTCATCTATTGAAGGACACCTAGGTTTGTTCCATAGTTTAGCTATTTTGAATTGAGCTGTTGTGAACTTTGATGTGGCTGCGTCAGAATAGTATGCTGATTTTAAGTTCTTTGAGTATAAACCAGAGAGTGGGATAGCTGGGTCCAATGGTGGTTCTATTCTGAGTTTTCTGAGGAATCTCCATTCTGCTTTCCATAGTGGTTGTATCAATTTGCAGTCCCACCAGAAATGTGTGAGTGTATCTTTTTCCCCACATCCTCGCCAGCATTTACTGTTGCCTGTATTCTTGATGACTGCCCTTCTGACAGGAGTGACTTGCATTTCTCTAATTGCTAGAGATGTTGAACATTTATTTCATATGTTTGTTAACCATTTGGAAAAGATGATGCTGGATTCTTGGTAGAGATGCACGAGTCTCCTTCATAGGCTGGAAGAGTCCCAGGGCATATTCTAAGTAATGCCTTTGACTGTCTCACAGCTGTCCCTTCGTGCCACTCTTGAGCTGAGGACCCAGGCTGGCTCCTTGTCACCTTGACAGGAGATACTCGTGGAGGCCGTGGAAGTGCGGCCCTTCTCCTCTTTCTGTGTCCGTGGCACAGAGGACAGCGAGGTGTTTTTGGCAGGCTTCAAGTATTTGGAGGAGGCACGTCTAGGTGGGTTCCTACTGTGGGCATCAAGGGTGCATTTCAAGTTAACCTCCTTTTAGCACCTCCACAAAGTGAGTGCACGCTGCGATGGCAAGGTCACGTGCTCGGAAAGACCCCTGCTGCCGTAGATGGTACAGAGGCCTCTCACACCTGGCCCTCTACAGGATTATTGTGCAGTGTCTGGAAAATAGCTTATTACTAGGAGAGAGATTATTTGGAAAGGTAGCAGAAGAGCATTCTCTGGGTTCTTTATCAAGAATCTTAATTGTGAGATGTGACCTTGATATTGCTTGCTCTAAGTTTTTTCCGAGTTTATGGTGATTCTCTAGATTGCAGTCTTGCAACTCAGAGTGTCAGCGCAGATTTGATGTTATTTTCTAGGGTCCTTTTGGTCTCATCAGAGCCCTGTGGTTTCCCTTGAAGGCAGGGCCTTGTCTCTGTGAGCAGGGCTCTGCTGAGATACACAGCTTCTCCAGCAGGTGCAGACAGCACAGGGGGTGGGGTGCTCGGTTTAGCACACAGCTGTGGCCTCTGTGGTTCTCAGGCTCTGGCTGGGAGCACACCTCTTCATCTCTGAGCTGATATTAAACAGTGCTCAGCAGAAAGCACAGCGTTGAGCACGTTGAGCACGGGTGGAGTCTTGGTGGCACGCTGGCCCACTTGTATCCACTTGTATCAGGCTTTCTGTTTGTGAGTGCCTCATGCCAGGACCGTGCACACTCAGCCCCTCCTTTAGAGGGCGCTGTAGATTCATTTGGTCAGCAGGTAAGTGTGGCGTGCCTGTCCTGTTTTAGGTACCGAGACAACAGTGAGAAAGTAGACGCACTGTCCTTGCAGAGCTGGGTGTGAATCAGGCACATTTCGTAGTCTAACCAGAGGGACAGAATAGCAAGCACTGGCCAAGGAGTGAGGCAGCCTGAAGGGACAGTGCTGGCTTCCCGTTGCCAGAGGGCAGTGCTTGTGGGTCAGGGAATGCAGATTATGAGGCTGTCTCATGTGCCAGTGTGCACCACACATGCCGCAAGCCCCCCCCTTCCACCACCCCCCACCCGGCTGCAGCCAGCAGAGGGCAGCACGCTTTGCCCACTGGGACTCAGGTCCACTGCATCAGGTGGAGGGGCACAGAGGGAATAGCTGGATCAGCTCTCCGGTCCAGGAGCATATCCGCCAGTCCCAGAATCTGGCCTCCCTCCCAGACAGACACCATCTGGGTCATTTGGCCGGCTCCTGTCCGTAGCAGCTTGAGCTTCTGGCTTCCTCATCCCAGGTGACTCCTCTGTACTTGTTATCATTGCAGAGCACCCCCTTGTGTGAATACAGAATGTTTTTTATACATTTCATTGCTGTTGGACATTTGGGGTGTTTCTGATTTTTTTATGATACTCACTGTATCTCCGCAAATATAGAATAAGTGAAACTAGAATTGTGAGTTGGTGACAAATGTGCTTTAAAATAGTCAACATATTTTTATTTTTTCTTCAAATATTGAGAATTTCCAAGTCATTAAAAATCGCCTTTCACTTATCATAACAGAGCATCCGTTAGAGTAAGGCCGGTATCTCCATGTTCATCTTTATTCCTTGCTTTCCTGATAGCTGGGCCTCAATTCTGAGACACGCATTTTAACCAATCTCTTACTGAAGTTGCTTATCAATTGTTTTGAATGTTTTCCAGGAGATAATCTGCAGGGTCTGTTGTGTTGCTGTTTCCTGGTTAACCTGTGAGCTTCAGCTGCACTTAGGAGGTGACATGGATTCCCTGTCTGTAGCTTCACCTCCTCCGGGAGGTGATTGTAGCTTCTCGGTTTCCTTGTGCTGTCCTGAGGTGCTGGCAAGACACCAAGAGGGGCCAGGCAGCTCAGCAGGAGAGGGCAAGGAGAGGTGGAGAGGCTGCAGCAGCACGTGTCAGGGTGAGGGATGAGCCAGAGAGCCAGCGAGGTGGGGCCTGGGACAATGGACGAGGAAGGCAGGCCTGCTCGGGGCCACCTCGCCACAGCGCATGCAGGACCTAGTCTCAGGGCCATGCATGGATTGCAGGGCTCAGCCCCGGCAGTCAGTGTGCTGACTGAAGAAGGCAGGGACGGCGTGGCACTTCCTCTCGGGGACGTTCTCACAGCTGTCTCGGCAGTGCTCGGGCATAGGTGGGCACAGTCTCACTGGAGTGTGAGTGGGCTGCTGGGAGCCGCCTGGCCAACATGGGGTTTTCCTAATGGCAGCTGTAGTGTTCTTTCTTTGTTCAGCAACCTCTGGTAGCTCTCCAGGGTCAGCTGAGGTAGACGAGCCCTCCTGTGGTGCCCTGCTTGCTGATGGTGCCGGCTCCTCCCTGGCCTCAGGGTCCTCCCTGTCCTTCCCTGTGCCCTCCTTTCTGGTCCACTGTCCATTTCCTGCTCCTCTATTGTAACTGCTGCTCTGTTCCTGAGCCCTGGTCAGGTCTCTCCAAACTGAATGAACCCTGTCACCCTTTGGTTGTGCAGGCAACTTGACCACCAGGTAGCTAGGCCAGCAGGATAACCCAGAGGTCTGTGAGCGAGTCAGGAAGCAGGGGCAGTGCAGAGTCCAGGGCCTCCAGGCCATGCCACATGTGTCTGTGGTGGTTACACTGATGAAGCGACCGCGTACGGAGTAGGAGAAAATCTGAACGGTTTTTAATGTTGTCACTGTTTTATTAGCTTTCACTCTTACTGTGCCTCGCTGATTGCACTTGCTAACTTAGTGTTGATGACAGGTTAGCCCTAAGCCATCTGGGTTTGCATGCAGTTCACCTCCGGCTCATTGGCTATGCGCAGATGGAAGGTAATGGCAGCATTTGGTCTGCTCACTGGTGTTTTGAAGGCTTTATGCAGTAGCTTAGGGATCTGTTGTCGTCTCTGCTTCTGTGAGGCAGCTGCCCTCACTTCCTGGTCCTGGAAGAAGACTGGGGAGGTGGGAAGTGTGGGGTCCAGTACAGACCTGCTAATTGGAAAGACCCTGGGGGAGTGGGTGGCCATGGATCTGGAGCCTCCAGCTCCTTTAGAGATTTCCTTCTTGGAGTGGAGGAGGTGTGTCATTTAGATATGATGTGATGCAAGTAGTCGTGCTAACAATCGTGAACAGAAGACTCTTGTTTGTGTCAAATATAAGACCTGCATCCTCTTTCCTGTGCTTTGTGTTTTCAGATCCAGGTTGAAAATGGCCCAGGAGGTGTCCTGCATCGGTGACTGTGAGGACACTATCATTACAGAGAAGTACCTGGCTGAGTCCACGGAGGCTTCGTCTCATGTGCAGCTGGCCTGCAGCATGCTGTACTGTGCCTTCCCCCTGCATGGGAACCAGCTTTGCCTGTGGAGCATCAGGGACCCTTCTCACCAGGTGGTCAGCCAGGGGCAGGTGTTTTTCCTAAGTCCAAGGTCACCAACCCCCAGCCCCCTGCCACCATTTCTTTGATGCTGTTTGGGCAACTTTGCCCTCCGTGTATTCAGTGACATGGTTAACTTGAGAATAATTCACTGTACATAAGCAGGAATTTAAATGAATGAATTCAAAATGAAAACATGAAATGAATATTTTTGAAAAGCCCATTTATTTACTTTCTTAGGTTTGAAATAATGTTGTTTTGCTCTTTTGTTTTTTAGGTGTTAATGTAATCTTGTGTTATTTTGGTTTAATTTATTTTTCAGCTTCTAATCCTACAAGGACACCTTCAGTCAATTACTGCTATGGCTTTTGGAAATAAAGAGAATCCACCTCTAATCTGTTCTGCATCACAGGATTGTCTTATGATATGGAACCTGGATGAATGCAGAGAGAAGTCACTTAAAGGTAAATAGAAAACACATTTTAAAACATATTCAGAAGGAAAAATCATCCTTAAGCATACTTGCCTATCCTAGGGGCTCGGATCCTGGGGCTCTTCACTTGATGCAGGCATCTAAACACACCTTGCCCCAGACTGGCCCACTTGACACATAGTCTCCTGGTTGAAGGGCTCTTGAGCTTTCTTCTTTGCTTTCTTATTTTAAACACTGAATTTCATGACAATCTGAAGACATATGGTCAGGTGCAGGGTCACATGGGTGTCTCTGAGCTGGAGACAGGGTGAAGGGGCAGGGTGTGTCAACTGTGGTGGTGTTTACAGCTTAGAGAGTGAGACAGAACACCCCCATGCACAAGCAAGTGGTTGTGAATTGTGGGAGTGCATGTGTGGGTGGCAGAGAGAAGGTGGGCATGGAGGCTTTCGTGTTGTGTGGGCCTGAGGGTGTGGCACCGGAGCTGGGGATGGGGCTGGCATTGAGGCAGAGGGGTCTGGGCACACACAGGCTCTGGGCACGAGGCGCTGGCTGTTGGAGAACTGAGAAGGTCTTGTGAGATGCATGGCACTGTTAGGAGAACGTTGTCAAGTGAGTCTGACAAGTTAGGTGGGGACCACGTAGAGGAGTTTGAGTTTGTAAGGCTACTCTAAAAAATGCAAAGTGCTCACTCAGTCAGCGGAGTAATAGGGTATATCCCACCTTCATTTACTCTGCACAGTGTCGTATTTGCAGTGTCTGCATGGCGGTGAGCAAGCTCAGACACATGCACTACATGTGTGCTCACGCAGGGGTGCAGAGGAGGAGCCCCTGGTGGTGACTCTCTAGAGGTCCTTGTAGGTCGGCAGCCTTCCCAGCAGAAGGAGCTGTGCCTGTGAGCTTCTTTTGGGCTGCTCACTGGAGGCTCCCACAGACTTTCTCTCCCACCTGGTGTGCTCCCAGGACGGCGAGCAGAACTTCAGCCCTGAGGGGTAGCCCTGGGTGAGCAGAGTCAGGTTGCAGGTGTCCACCTTGGTGTTCTGGAGCTTCAGTGGAGTGAGGACAGACTCTCCTGCAGCTGGCACAGTGGTCCTCACTAGCTGAAGCCCCTGATGTGGCTCCCGAGTCTTTCGCGGGAACTGGCATAGTTGTGTTTGGTTCGTGGGTACGCTGGGCTGGTACTGGCCTCTGGGTCTGGTTAGCTCAGACCTCTGAGCCTAGGGGCCAGTTGCCTGCAACCTCCATGCCTGCTCCTCCTTCTCTAGCCTCAAATGGTGTAGTGCAGGCTTCTCCTGTCTCGTCAAAGTCCCTGTCTCTCCGATTGGAGCCAGGCTGCTGGCTTTTCATAGTTCGTGTGCTGATGGCACCCTCTGCTCCCTGGCTGGGCCCCCTCTCTTGACTGGACATTTCCCGATGTCTAAGAGGATGAAGGATGGCCAGCGTGGACCTGCCTTCCCACAGAACCTCTTCCTCTGCCTTCCCCCCTCTGGCATTCAGGTCAGAACCTTCAAGTGTCCTTCCTTCTGCCCCAGTTCCATTGTGTCATCAAGTTCTGTCTCCTTTACCTTCAAACCGCAGCTGCCCTGGAAACTCCTGGCACCCCCAGGGCTGCGTCCAGGCTTGCCCCCCAGGCTCTCGTCTCCCTCCTCCCTGCCCTCCCCAGGCCCACTCAACCCGTAGCCAGACCGTCTTTAAAGTGTCTGCTTATGGGAAGGAACCCTCTGCACAGAGCCCTCCAGGGCCCCTGCCTCCTGCAGAGCACGAGTCCAAAAGCTGCAGCCCCACCCCCAGCTGGAGGAGCAGTGCAGACCAGGCCTGCCCCAGGGCCTCCCTTGTGGCTCCATCTGCTTATGGGACCCCTCTGCACCCAGCCACTGCCCATCCTGCCTGGGTCTCTTTTGTCATGGGCCATTTCTGGCCACCACCTGGCACCCAGTTGCCTCTCCTGCTGGGTCCCTGGCGTAGCAGTTTTCCCTCTGGTCGATCCATGGCTGTTGTCTCTGGTTATTGGTGTTTTCTGTGTCTCCTCATTACCTGAATGAGTTGTCCCGTGGGTGCTATCCCCAGTTTCTGGAAAGAGGCTGGCATGGTGGGGTGCTTGTTAGGGAGCCCTTGAGTGAGTCCAGAGGGGTGACCTGGCCACAGCCGCACTTGGAGTGACACACGCGCATCCCTGTGGAGTGTCTTGGGTGGCTGGAGACACCACCTTGCTGGTGCCTGCAGTGAGGGCAGGGGCCAGGGCAGGGGCCAGGGAGTGCTTGCTCTGTTGCACAGGTGGGCCCTGGGCACAGCTCCACTCCTCGTGCTTACCACAACCCCCTGGGCCCTGCAGGCCAGCTGGGGGATGTCCTTATGGTGGGACTCTACCACCCAGAATAGGCCCTGAGCCCCGAACACTTTCAGTTATCTAAGTGGTTGTGCTTCCCCTGGTGATGTCAGGGTAGAGAATGACACTATCACCCTTCTGTGGTTTCCAAGCTGTGTGACTGCCGAGCTCATGCCTGAAACTTTCTCCAGGGCTGGTTCCTCGAGGGACCGTCATGGGCACGCTTTTGGAAAAGGTGCTGTATTTAAGATTTAGTCCAGATGACCGTGTTGTTGCAGCATGTGCTGGCAGCAGAGTGTTGGTGTTGGACGTGGAGGTAAGACCTGGCTACTGTGGAACCCGGGAGGTGCAGGGCTGGTGGGGCCACTCAGGTGCTCAGACCCTGCTCCCCCCTTTTTAAAAATTTTTCTGCTCTTACTTTTAAAGTAGTAGTTTTAGTTTGATGTATTTTTATAAAGATTTAATGAAAATACACCTTTAGCTTGAGATTGGAAAGCTGCTAGAATTAAAGAGTACTGTTGAGATAAATCATTAGAACTTCAGGGATGACTTGAGCATGTGCTTGTAAAACTTTGATGTCTTGAGCATGCTTCACCCTGGGGATCTCTTCAGAGCCCTTGTGGTATAGAGTGCCACATGCACGTTCTTGCCAGAGCCTGTTTCCACAAAGGATTGGGTGCTCACTTACCTCCTAGTTGGGCCTAGTTGAAGTGACAGTAGCCCCCTCTAGGTTGGCAGTCTTAAACACAATGTTTGACTGGAGCAGGTGCTTGACTCCTGGTAAGTACTGCTGAGTGGGCGTGGGAAGGGATGTGGGAGCGTGAAGGAGGGCACTTTGTTCCCTTTGGGTGCATATAGTGCTTGAGATGCAGACTGGGGCTTTCCCCAAGTCTGGCACCCACCTTGCTATCTGTTTGCTGGATCTACACAGGTCATGGTGTGGGTTTGGTGCTCTAGCTTTCCTTGACCAACCACCGTAAAACACACAGAGAAGGAAGGTGTCAGGTGTAAAATGGCAAATGTTTATCATGTCCAGTGTGTGCTGGCATTTGGGGACACAGAGAAGACATTTCTGTCTCCAGATGACTTTGGAGCTGATGTGAAACCGAGGCTCACATTAAGTGAAGTGAGCATCGTCACGTGGGTCGTAGACCTTGGAGGAGTGTGTCGTGTGTGTGGCAGAGGGCTCCAGGAGTTCCTGTCAGCAGTTGAGAAGCCTGTGTTTTGGCACTAAGGATGTAAAGTGCAAACATGTGGTTATTGATCAGCATTGGGTCACTCCACAACATAAGAAGAAAATCACTAACATGAAAGGATTGACATCTTATGCCAGGAAGAGCAAAACCAAAACGAATGGGAAGGTACTTGATATTGTTATCACCTGACTGAGGATCGAGTGCCCTGAGAGAGACAGTGGACAGTGCTGGCTGCGGTCCCAGCCACACACCTGAAGCTCCCTGTGAATCAGAGCTGGCAGCAGTTGCTCCAGAGGCTTTCCAGCCCCCGCCAGCCTGGGGCTTCCTCCGCAGCAGGCAGGTGACCTGCGGGTCTTCACCAAGCAAGTGAATCTTAGTGGACAGGAGTGGACACTGCCAAGTGACTGAATCAGCCCTTGACCGGCTCAGGTGCTCTGAGCAGAGCATCAGCAAGGAAGCAGTTACCCATGACAGAGTTTGCGCTGAAAGTTACAAGGGAATATGAAGCGTTTAATTATGAAATACACTCATAAGCTATTAGAGGACATGACTTACAGTACCTTTCCGGATATAATGTCATGTGTAGACAAGTGAACCTAGAGAGAACAGAGCGTGTGCTTCAGAACAGCTCCAGCTACCCTCACCCCTGTGCACGATCATCTCACCTGCTGTCCTTAACTGTCTGATGGCAATTGGCACAATGTGCTTGTCAAGGTTGTCTGTTGAATTATTGAGGAAAGTTTTTAGAGTTCATTGTCTGCAGTTAAGTCTCTCTCTCTATGCATGTACACAGATATGTGTTCTGAATATTAGGGCTGTTTCTCCTGCCTGGACTGAGTGCCGTAAAGTTGGAGGAGAGTTCCCCACTCACAGGTGCTGGGACCCCAAGGGACACATGAGGGAGGTGGCTGTGGCTCCTGGGGCCCCTGGTGCTCTCTCGCCTCTTTCTCAGGCCATCTCAGAGTGTGAGCTTTAGTGCTGGCCCCTGGGCTGCCGCTGGGCTGTGGGAGGAGTCTGCTTGCTGCGTGCTGTGTTTCAGTGACTCCCTCGTGGACAGCAGAGGCTGGGAGAATGGAAGGCATCATGGGTGTGTCCAGGAAGAGAGGGAAGGGGGAAGAGGGGAAGGGACAGGGAGATGAGTCAGAGGAAGACACTGGAGCACCCCAGCCCCCTCCCACAGGAGCCAGAGGCCTCTGGCAGCAGAAAGCAGCCTCAGGAGGGTGCAGTAGAGGTGCTGGGTGTGGGGCACCGGGCCTGGTGCTGGGCTGCCGTCTGCTGCCGTCCTGCTGACGTGCGCCAGCCTGAGCCCCCCGGGAACTCAGCCTTTGGGATCCTCACTTCCAGGCTTACACAGGACTCGTTCCACAGTTGCAAGAGTGAACACGTAAAGTAGAATTTATTTCAGCAGGGACTACTCTCTGTGGTATATTATGACTTGTTGATGATACTCATTCCAGAACATCCCTCCAGTAATCTTCTTCACAATTCTCCTAGAGTCCATCTGTGCTGGTGGAACTGGAGGGCCATCAGGGCACAGTGACCGCTGCAGAATTTTGTCCCTGGCAGGGACAAATCCTCATTTCAGTGTCTGAAGACAGGAGCTTTAAGGTAGGGTGGGCCCTGGGCTGATTTCTGATATTGGGCAAAGGCTCGAGCACATTGGTGCATTGTTGTTTGACGATCACTGTCCATGTGTGGCTTGTTGCTAGAGCGCTTATATAAGAAAGTAGAGAAATAGGAATTTCTCTACTTTTCATACAAAAAAGGAATCTGGCAGGGTTTGGGAGCTGGGTTGGGATTCCCAGCCGCACGCTCCTTGGCCTGTTGCATTCCCACACAGGTGTGACTGGCTGCAGGAACTCTCCTCAGACCCTCGACCTTGGGAGCTAAAGGGTTAATGTATAATCCAGTGTTTGTGGTGCTGAGAGCAGAAGACCCAGTGTTCAGAACTGGGGTGTTCAATGAGAACTAATCCATGCTTAAAGGAAATAGAGGAAAAGGCGAGCTTGTCCCCTCAGGCCCAAGTCAGCTGACATTGTTGGGATTTTATTAACCAAGGGAGGACTTTATACACTGCCTTGGAAGGAAAATTGAGGGTTGCGACATCTATCAGAAAAATGACTCATTAGGTGCCTGCCTAATTTTTGGTCGTTTGGGAACACCTGTGTGGTGGAGCCGGGGTGGACCACCATAGGGCGCTGCTCTCCCCAGCTCTGGTGCAGGTGTGGGGACAGACGTCCTAGCTGCACCCTGACCAGCTGCCGCTGGGTGCTGCCCTACTCAAGCTCAGCCAAGGCCCCACCTGTACTGTTCACCAGATCCAAAGAGAGCGCTCAGAGGACTCACCCAGAGGCTCCTCTGAGGGGCCATCGGGACGCAGCAGAGGGCAGAGCTGTGCTTACGAGGGGGGGAGCTGTGTGAGAGGGGGTGGGCTTCCTTCACGACCAAGGTCACTCTCCAGATCTCTCCCAAGGACTGGGGATGAGGGAGTGGCCAGCTCCCCTCTCCTGCTCTGTCCTTCGCACTGCCCACTCCCCCAGGTGCTGGTTAGTGTCTGGCCCAGTGGACGCACTGTGTGGTGCTCAATCACATGTTCAGTGGACAGGGTGCCCATCAGATGCAGCCCTGCTGAGGGGCTCCTGCCTTCCATCTATGCCCCCCATAGGGCAGTTGGCTGCACACGCAGGCTTGTTTCCCACCTGTCCTGGGCTTGTGTCTTCAGTTCCCTCTGCCCGTGGGTTAGAGAGGATGGAAGTCTCCTCTCCCTGTGGGTTAGAGAGGATGGAAGTCCCCTCTCCCCGTGGGTTAGAGACGATGGAAGTGGTGTCTTGGTTTTGACACCCTTGGCAGTTTACTTTGGATGAGTAAATTGCAGTGCCATCTAGATGGGAAGGTACCTGGTGACCTGGTAGAGCCTCTCTTGTATTTCCCAGAGACTGTGGTGTACCCCGAGGTTGGTCTATCAGGGTGCAGAACAGAGAGACCTAACGGTCTGAATACACTTAGTTATAATTCTATTTGCATATTTTCATTTCAATTTTTATAATTATTTACATAGATTAATTTGTAATTGGGTAGAATTTAGTTTGAGGTTTAGCAGTAATGGCAAGATTTTTACCTTTCCTGAAGAAATGTCTGTTTGTCCAAAGGTCTGGGACCACTGTATGGGAACATTAGTGTACAGCTCATCTGTTTTTGCAGGTAAGTTCGAGAGTCCTCTGGCTTTGCTGAGTAGGCTGTGAGGCATTCAGCTCCTGAGGTGGTGGACCTGAGTCCACCAGCCTTCTGAGTAAAGACTGAACAGACTCACTCACAGTTAATGTCCTTGAGGTTTTCAACTTAAACACACACTTGAAGTCTGAACTTCTCTGTCTAGAAAGGTGCACAGTCGTTGGCTCTCAGATTCAGTCCCTGATTGCAGGGAGTGTGAGCTCTCCACTGTCCCCTAGAGACAAGGCCCTGAGTCTGGGCCCTTAGTTCAGTGAGGGTTTATAGGTTTTGGGGGATACTCTATGCATCACATCACACAGCAAATCATTTCACATCGTGGGAAAATCAAACACAACTCTTAACGTTGAGTTGATTAGCATATTCGTTGGTGGGAACAAGTCGGGAAGGGTGATTGGTTGGTTCAAGTGGTGGATACGTTTGAACTGATTGGTTTAGGCTGTGAGGGGTTGCAAGAGTGTATTTGCTAAACTGCAGGGTTTCCTAATCATGTTATCAATCATGTTGTCAATCAATCCTGACATTCCAGATGTCTTCCTTGTCTCATGCTGATTGGTTGTTGCTGTGGGTCATTAGGTCAGAACTTGGGCCTCAAGCATTCTTTGGTCTTCCCAGGAACTCCATTGCTGAGTCAAGGACATCTCGCATGTAGTCAGGGATATCTGGCCGTACAGACTTTTCCTGTTATTCACGGACAAATGACTCAGCACAATAGCTAGGTGCCTGGGGACACTCTGGGTTTTCTAAGAACAGAGGTCACCTCAGTTTCTCAACCACATTTGTGCTCCTTCCCACAGCATACCCTCTCCTGAGTTTGTTCATCCATGAGGACAGTAAGCAGCTTCTCACAGGGTGTGCTGACGGCCAGGTGAGAGAACCTTGTAGTTAGAGCCCACTTTCAGATATTGCTGCAACTGAACCTGTGCACAAAAGGTCTTTGCTTCCTTATTATTGTGAATTTTTTGTGATTTGAAGAAACTGTTCACCCTCAGTCCTGGGGTGGGGACTCTTTGTGTAAGTCAGCTCATGGTAGAGCAAAGGGGATTTTAGTCCATGCCTGGGCCCATGGGTCTGCAGAGACGATGGATAAATCTTCATGCTTTGGAAGCTCCACATGTGACTCTGGAGTATAACAGACAATGAGAAACACTCATATGACCATTAGCAACAGCATCATATAGTTTTTGGAAACTGAAGATATTTGTTTGAATATGAGGTGTTCCTGAAAGCTTATGCATGAGGCAAAACAAGATTGCTCAGAGGTGAAATTATTAGATTGTGAGAGCTAATTGGTAGATTAATTTATTTGATGGGTTAGTCATTTGAATGGACTAATGGGTAACTGTGGGCAGATAGGGTGTGACAAGAGAAAGCAGATGCCGTGCCCTGGTTAATTATGCTATTACTGGTTCCTTGCATTCAAGCTCTCTCTGCTTTCTGGCTGTAGAAAGTGGAGCAGCTCTCCTCTGCCATGTCCTGCTGCTATGATGCTCTTCCCCTTAGGTCCAGAGCTTATGGGATTGACAGACCATGGACTGAACCTCTGAAACCATGAGCTGAAATAAACTTTTCCTCCTCTAAGTTGTTTTTGTCAGGTATTTTGGTCACAGTGACAAAGAGTTGATAATGCAGAAATTGGTACTGGGAGTGGGGTTGTTGCTGTGATGTAGTTCAGAGGCATTAGGAACTGGTTTGTGGGAAGAGTTTGGAAAAGTTTGGAGATGCAAGTTGGAGAAACCTTAGAATGTTTAAGCAGAGCTTAATGGTCATTTCCTGTGGAAGCTCAGAAGACTAGAATGCCAATAGGACTGTGAACAGTAAGGATTGTGCTCCTGGGGTTCCAGAAGGGGAGGAGGACTCTATTGGAAATAGGACTGGAGGCCATTTATGACATTTCCCCCATGTCCTGAGACTTTCTTTGAGGCTAAATTTAATGACAAATTAGTGATGGACTAATGGATTAATTAGTATGGTAGAGGAAATTTCACATCAGCACAGCATTCAGGTGGTGGTATGGATATTGCTAGCAGTTTAATTAAGTTTGCTATGAGAATCAGGAGTAGAAAGTGGAGTGGAATGATTGAAAAAATTTAAAACTTGGCCAGAAAAGTGCATGTAAAACTTGGGTGAAGGAAGTTATGGTTGTTGAAGAGATTAAAGCTGCTAAAGAGATGCTAAGTACTTTACACAATAGGAAAGACAATAGGACAGACAGTTTGAAGGTCTCAAAGGAATTGGCAAGATTACACCTATCTCAGAATTAAAGGTGTAAACATAAAAGTCCCTTTGAGAAGAGACCATGGGAATCCTGCTTATATAGGGGCACCTAAGTAGTTGTTTCAGTCCTCCATGCACTCAGAAGCCACTGCAGCTGTGGTCCCAGGAGCCCGGCTGCTGCTTCAGATATCAGCAGACCTTGGTATCATCCAGGTGATGCTCATTCTGCAGGAATTCAGGACACTCAAGTGTGGGGTCTTGGAGACTTCAGAGGAAACCCATATTCAGTACTTGGTGAAGTAAACCTAAAATGCTTGTGTAAAAACTTTTGGAAACAGTTTATTATTGTATTAGTCAGCCTTTGGCTGCTGTGTCAAAAAGACCTGACACAAACACTTAGAGGAGGAAAGTTTATTTTGGCTCATGGTTTGGGAGGCCAGGCAATATATAGCAGGGTCAGAGTTCCAATGGGCTACCCCCAAAGTGCTGTGTTATGTGAGCAGGAAGCTGCAGCTGCCGTGAAGACACCTGAGACTAAGAGATGCTATTAATATGGAATGTCTACTGAGCAAAGTTGCAGACACCAAGCCAAGAAAGGCAAGAGAGGCCATGTGGGCTGCAATCAGCAAGGGCCCAGGCGGAGCTATGCAAGCCCTCTGGAGAGAACATCAGATGTCACATGTCCCGGATGCTAGCTGTGGGACTTAGACCTTGTTTGTTCTTGCTTTTGTCCCACTCGTTATTTCTATTCACCTCTTTTTCCATGTGGAATGGAAATGTTTATTCTGTGCCTCATATATTGGGTAGATATAATTTGCTGTTTGATCTTTGCAGGAACTCATGCTGAGTTTGCCTTGAGTCTCAGATAAGACTTGGGATTCAGACTTTTGGGCAATGCTGGAACTTTGAAGACTATGGAGTCTCTTGAAAATGAACTGAATATATTTTTCATTGTAAGAGGAGCATGAGATTTTGGATACCAGAGGCAGAATATTATGGTTTGGGTACTACATGTTTCCCAAACTTCATGTGTGAGACAATGCAGGAATGTTCAAAGGTGAAAAGATTAGATTCTGAGAAATGTGATCTCATCAGTGGATTGATCTTTTTGACAGGTTAATCATTTGAATGGAGGGTGGGGCTGAAGGAAGTAGATCCCTGGTGGCGTGCCCTTAGGAATTATGTTACCCCTGGTCTTTGCCCAAGCTCTCTCTGCTTCCTGACTGTCTTTACCAGGTCCTTCCACCAGTTGCTGTTTCTCACCTGTCGGTCAGAGCTATGAGTAGGCTGACCATGGACCGAACCTGTGAAACCACAAGCCAAAATAGACTTTTCCTTCTCCAAGTTGTTCTTGTCATGTCCTTGGGTCACAGCAACCAAAAGCTGACTAATATAATACTTAATCTGTTTCAAAAAAGTTTTTATGTGAGCATTTTAGGTTTATTTCACAAAGCATGGGTAAAGTAGTTGTGGATACGATATGAGAAAGATATGCTTTTGGAAGCTAATAGAGTTTAATGTTTTTTATTTCTTTTTTTTTTGTGGGGGGTTATGAATTTATTTTCTTTTTGACAAAGTTGACTGCTGTTAACCAGGTCTCATTGCCAGTGGTGTGGTCAGGATGCTCATGGCTTTGAGGCCGTGCTGTGGCCTGGAGGGGAGACTGGGTGTAGGCCATGGGGACCTCCTAGGTGGACACATGCAGCTGAGGTGGTTCTGACCTGACCTCAGTGTTTGGGACTGACTGCCCTTCACAAGCAGGTACACTGAGACTGGCGTCCACGGGGAAGGGACCTGGGAGTGCCCCGGGGACCAGAGGACATTGAGTTGCATCACTGAGGGAAGACGAAGGGCAGGACTTCTTTGCTCTTGACCCACTTCCTCTTAGGTGTTCCCTCTTTTCGTAAGCTCCAGTGTGGAGAGAGACTCCTGTCTACCTGTTTTGCTCTCTCAGCTTTGGGTCTTCAGTTTGGTAGAAAGGCACCGTTACCGTTGTGTGGCACGTGTTGACCTGAGGAAGAGAAACAAGGCTTTCTTCACCCGAAGGATGGAGTCTGAGGGGTGCAGCCTGCCAGGTGTGTGTGCTCCTTGGGTCTCCTGCTTCCCGTGTCGGACAGGTAGGGTGTCAAGGAGAGGTGCGTCATTGGGAGAAGCCTTCCTTGACTTTGGAGGACACCTGTGAGACAGAGTGGGGGCTGTTGTGTGGGGGGGTTGCGGGGGAATTGAACAGAGGGACCTAAGCCACAGAGTTGACCGCGGCAGTGGGGACCAGTGGGCACAGGCCTTTGAGGGTTCAGAATGGTGATCTGAGCAGAGTGCGGTGTTCCCCTGCCCCCAGTGTCACGTGCACCTTCACTTCCACCTCACCCTCCTGCCACCCGCAGGCCTTCTCTGGTCCTGCCATGCTGAGCTCCTCCCACCCTGTCCCCAGAACACTGTCCCTCGGCCACGCATTGCACACAGAGCAGGTGCTCTGCTGGGAGCCCGTGTCCCTGTGTGGTCAAGCTCTCATTTCCACAGACCTGCTGTCTGTGCAGGGTTCTTGTCGCTATTCTTCTTTTCCTCTGAGATTTTTGTAGGTGGCTGTAAACTGTTTCTTTATGTATCAGGTCAGAAATTACCTTTCCGATAAAAGTACTTTTTTAAACCTTGCCTTCATTATTTGTCTTATAAATAATACACTCTTATTCTAGAGGTAAATCCTAAGATTGTCTTGGGAAATGTGAAATTAGCTTCTATGTCGACCATCTCTTCTTCTCCACTCTTTTTTTTTTTTGTTCTGTGTTTGAAATTTCATTGTTCACAGACTTCAGGATGGAAGATACATTGTTTCTGTTTGATTTTTTTTTAAATGATACTTAGAATGATTTCTCTGATTCTTGATTTGAGGTATTCTAGCAATTCATACCTGTGGCAACCTCCCACTAAGTCAGTTGTCTGCCTTTCAACTTGGTCAATAAGCCTAATTTCAGATTGTCCATGATTCTGTTCCCTAGAGGAGAGTCAGCGCCCCTCTAGGAAGATGCTGGACCAAGGAGAAGAGGCTGAAGCAGCCCTCCCCATCCTGATGCTGGCAAGCTGCTACCTTCCACGCCTTCTAGATGCTGGATGTGGAGTGTATGTATGGCAAGCTGGGCCAAAATCATGAAGAGAAACCTTTATTTCCCTCAGGTGAACAGGGCAGGGTGCTGCACACGGCAATTCCAACTATGCAGGAAGCTGAGGCAGGAGGATTGCAAGTTTGAATCCAGGATGGCAACTTAGTGAGACTCCATCTCACAATAAAAGAAGAAAAAAGATAGGGTCTGGGGTGTGGCTGGCCAGTAGAGGACTGGCCTAGCCTGTGCACAACCTTGGGTTCCATCCCAGCACACAAATTCCTTAATTGTGTGTTATGTTTAGTTTTGAAGAATGAATAGAGCAAAGCCAAATCACTTTTGCCTCTGATTGGGTGCAAGCTCTCTTAGAATTGCATATTTCATTTCTAGGAACTGGTAAATTTGGTTTGATTTAAGCCTCTTGAATAAAAGAAATTAGATGGTTTCAATTCTGCTCACCAAAATCTAGGCAAATCTTTACCTCTGTAAGGGCTCTTTTCCTTAGAACGAGGCATGGTAATCATAACTCATTCTGACTTCTCCTTTTCCTCCACGTGTGCATGTATTATACATTTAAAAGTAATCCCTTGTGAATTTTACTTATTTATTTCTGTGCCGGAGAGCAATATGTGGAGGCCTCGTCAGTGACTAAATGATACGTAACAGCTGTACTCACCTCTCCCCTGAGACCCTGTGAGATAGCTTAGAGATTACGAATCCCACGAAGCCAAGCCTCCTATCTCCTCTGGATGGAGTGGGAAATGAGAGGTGGGCAGCTTGCCCAATGGCCTTGGTCCTAGGAGTCCAGAACTCCCTGCTGGCCTCATCCATTGGGACCAGCAGGCTCAGGAAGGCAGGCTGACCTTGTGTTCCAGTCTTGGTTTCTGGACCAGAGGCAGAGGGTTCCTCCTGTCCTCCTCAGAGAAGGGGAGCACCTGCAGGGCAGGGCAAAGCGGGAGCACCCCAGCTTATGCTGTTGGCAGGACCTGAGGGTCTGGACGGTGGGAGCAGGAGCCGGGTGGGAGGGCAGATGCTCCAGCACTGAAGCCAGGAGCTGGGCTGCACCCTGGCAGTGGGCAGGCCAGAGCTGTCTGGGGGACATCAGGTGGGCTCTGACTGGGACTCACACTCTGCCTGCGAGCTCTGCTCTCAGGGCTGTTGGTTTCCTCTCTGAACTTGCCTCCTCCTTTGCTGTAACCACGAGTCTGTAATGAGGGTCAGACTTAGGTGGGGCCAGCCTGGGGCCACCTGGGGTCACTTGCCTCTAGGAGATGGCTGGTGGGTGGCCATCAACCCCACAGATTTCAAGGTGCAGGTAGGAATAGGATGAGCCCACCGACTGCAGTGTCCATGCACACACCTTCTGGGTGCCCGCAGGGGGCATGTGCTGCCCCCATGTGTGGAGAAAGGGCAGCAACACCAGGAAACACGTGGAGCTAATCTTGAGGGAGAAGTTCTGCTGACAGTGTTCCTCTTGCCTTAAAGCAGCCTCCCTTCTGAGAGCAGCGCCTGCTTGTGGATCGCAAGTTCAACTGGTCTGTTCATATTCCACCTGGCAAGCTTGGAACTAGAGCACGCATTACACTTCAAAGGTAAGACAGAGTTCAGTCTTCTCTGACATCGTCTCTTACACTTGAGGGTTTCTTGGAATGACATGAGGGGTGGTGAAAGTTTAGGGGTGCAAGCCTACCGCTCAGGTTTGAAGGTCACTTTTATCAGAAGCAACGTGGCTCCTTACCTGTGACTTCTGTGTTTCTAACCCAAAGGACACTGTTTCAGTCCTGCCTTTCCGGACCGTCTGGCAGAATCAGCACCTGTGGTGTGCCCCTCCCCTCCCTCCCAGCCCCTTCCCTGCGTTGCTCAGCCTTTCTGCACCCTCTGTGCTGTGTCCCGGCCCTCTTCTTCTCATGCACCAGGCTCCTGTGCACCCCCCTCCCTGCACACACATGCCCTGAGTACTGCCAGCTCACAGACCCCCGTCTCCATGTGTTGTCACCCTGACCTGAGGCCCTGTCCTTCCTGTGCCCAGCAGGAAGCAGTGGCACTTACCCGTCCTGGCCTCCACCTATCTGCAAGGTGGCCGCCCTGGCCACTCTCTCCTCTGCACTGAGCCCGAGAGCCTTCGTAGAGGCCCACTTGATTTGGTCCTTCTGAGGCTTCCGAGGCGTTCAGGGTGGACTGTCCGTTCCTCTGCTGGGTCCTCCAGGGCCCCTGGGTCTTGTCGAGTGCCCCAGGTCATGGCTTTCCTGCTGTCCTCAGAATCCTCCAGACTGCAGGGCGAGTGGATCAGTTCAGGCCTCTTCTCCACTGACCGTGCCCCCGACCCGTCCCTCCTGTTCAGCGTCAGGGCCACTTGCTCAGTCCTGGGAGGTGGGTCCTCACTGGAAGCTCCCTTCTCCTCTCCAACACTCGCACAGCCTGTTGCGGCTTCATGCTTGTCACCTCCTGCCCAGTGTCTGGTTCTGGGCCTCATGACAGGGAGGCCCATCTCCTCCCTGGCCATGTCCCTGGCTACTGGTGCAGGTAACCAGGTGGAATGGGTGGTCTGCCAGGCTCGGTTCCCTGGCTTGCCACCTAAACATTGTCTCCTTGTCTCTGCTGCATGTCAAGACTTCAGGTGCCTCAGCGTCCAGGTGGCTGGTTCCTGCGCTGTGACGAGCCAGGCTGCTGACCACAAGGTCAGTGGAGGTCTCACCCCCTGCTCCTGCCAGGCGCATCTCCCGCAGCACTGCCAGCTGGCATGGCACAGAGACTGCCCCGAGTTGTGCGTGCTGTGCAGCTGCACGCACCTGTCGAGTGGCATAGCTTGGCCCACGTGCAGCAGGCTTGACGTGGAAAGCCGTGCTGTGAGGGGGGCCGTGGATGTAGACCTGCGGTCTCCTTAGTGTCTGGCCATGTCATTAACTGTGTCACAATGCTGTCCTTCATAGGCCTTTTGCCTGCTCACGTCCATGTTTGGGAAGAGAATTGCCATACTGGAAGTCAGCCTGGATACTCTGGTGAGGTCCCAGCAGGGCCCTGTCCCCGAGAAGGCACTGTCAGTGCTGGCGAGGTACAGTCTGCTCGAGGGCGATGTCCCCATGTGGGTGTTGATTGTGTTGATCAGTGAGCATTTTCCAGATTTGTTTCTCTTTGGTACCAGGGATTAAAGCCAGGGGTGCTTAACCACTGAGCCACGTCCCTAGCCTTTTTCTTTTTTATTTTGAGACAGGTTCTCACTAACTTGCTTAGGGTATTGTTAAGTTGCTGAGGCTGGCCTCCAACTTGCAATCCACCTGCCTCAGCCTCCCAAGTCACTGGGATGACAGATGTGTACTACAATGCATAGCTAGATTTCTTTTTATGTTAAGAAATAAAGGTAAAATTTAGTAAATACTCAGCCATCCTAACCCTATGTGAAAGGAATTATTGTTCATACCATTGCTTCTTTTATCTTATTGAAAATGAAAAGATTCATAGTTTAACACAAAATACTATTTTATTTCAGAATAGAATGCAGATTATAAGATAGCACATTTATTAAAAATATACTGAATTTTCCTTTCAGAACAAAAATAAGCTTGATAGTTTTTATTCCAAATATTGTAGTTTTTATTTCTAAATATTGTGTGTCCTTGTCTGTGTGAATTAATCATTTGTTACCATACTTATTGTGTGTTCCATTGAGCAATTCCATTTTATCCTTGTTTGCTTTATAGCCTGGCTTTATTTTTGTTTCAGCTCCTGTGTTCTACCAACTTCTCCCCTGTATCTTGGAGTTGTTAAGGGGAAAAGTACTAAACCTTCTGGTCAAAAACAATCTGGTTAGTAGAATACACTCTAAAACATAAAAGTGCAAAGCTGATTAGGACGTGCTCCGTGAGTCCTGCCTCTCAACATGCCAGTCGGTGTGCTGTCCTGCCTCTGCTGCTGCCCTGCCTCTCTGGAGTGGACTGCACATCCTCCGTGGCTGGGCAGGTGTGCGGTGTCTCTTCCTGAGCTGTGGTCCTTCACAGGCATTCAGAGGCTGGCTTCACATGGGAGGTTGTGTCTGTGGCCAGGGCTGGGTGCACGTGGAGGGTCCCCAGTGACCACACGTCCTGCTAATCCACCCTGCGCACTCCAGCATGTGTTTCCCAGACAACCAACCATGATGTAGTTCTATCCAAAGAAACTGTGATCCCTTGGTCTCTTGTATTGGCCATACCCTGATTCATTATTCTTGATTGTCTAAAAAATGCTTTTTTATGCCTTGGTTCTTAATAACCTACCTGTTGCTTTTTTTCCAAGAAAAGATTTGAAAGTTGCTTTCATTTGAGAGGCAGGCTTCCCTGTGTCCCAGTTCTCACTGGGTAGGAATCACTGATATTCTTTTTTTCCCTTCAATGTTCAGTCTGAACTCTTAACTCAGTATTGTTAAACGTCTTACTTGGCCTGCTTAAGACAGTTAAGGCCCTCAAACAAACCATGTTTATGTTCTGCTCACAGACACTGCAGAGATGGCTCGCACTGTACCCTCCCCTTGCAGGAAGCTGTCCCTGGGCTCTGCCTTCTGACCTTGGCTGTGCCCACGTGTGCCCCAGGCCTGGCTGTGGTGGACACCCACCTTCTTGGTATTTCTGGGGGCTCTGCCCCTGGAGCTCCCTGTTCTGAAGAGTAGGAAGTCATGACATGGCTTTCCTCTGCGGTGGGCAGCCCCACTGTGCTGACTTGGCTCCCTGCCGTGTCTGAAGAGCTCACGCATTAGGTGTGCTTGGTTTCAATGGGGCATCATTTGGGGTGTCAGGTTTGAAATGGTCAGAACTGAATTTCTTTGTAAAACAAAGCAAAGCAAAACAAAGACACCTATCACTTAATATTATGCATTTATCCATTTTCTGAAGCTATTTTATAATTTGTGCAAAATATTTATCTTTAGAGGCTGGGGCTGTGGCTCAGTGGCAGAGCGCCCGCCTCGCACATGTGAGGCCCTGGGTTCCATCCTCAGCACCACATAAAAATAAATAAATAAAGATATCGTGTCCACCTACCACCAAAAAAATATTTTAAAAAAATTTATCTTTAACATCAAGGAATAAATTTACGCAAAAGTAAATAGTTCTGGCAAAATTGTTTTTCATTTGAGAGCATTTTTGAGGTTTGCAAGTATTTGTGGTAAGTTCATGTGTTGCTGGTTTTTTTGTGAAGCACGGGGAGGGTGTCTGTATGTATCTGTGTGTGTGTCTGTGTGTGTGTGCATGTGCGTGTGTGTCTGTGTCTGCGTGTGTGTGTGAGTGTCTGTGTGTGAGTGTGTGTGTCTATGTGTGTGTGTCTGTGCATGTGTGTCTGTGCATGTGTGTCTGTGTGTGTCTGTGTGTGTGCGTGTGTGTGCGCGTGTGTGTCTGTATGTGTTTGTGTCTGTGTGCGTGTGTGTCTGTGTCTGTGCATGTGTGTGTCTGTGCGTGTATGTCTATGCGTGTGTGTCTGTGTCTGTGCGTGTGTGTGTCTGTGCGTGTGTGTCTGTAGGTGTGTGTGTCTGTGTGTCTGTGCGTGTGTGTGTGTTAGAGCTTGGTGAGGAGCTCCACTTCTGTTAGAAGGCACCAGGTGTCGCCGTAGCCAGGCTTCCTTGGTGCTCTGTGCATGGACATGGCAAGCAGCTCTGTCCTTCTCCTAGAGAGGCTGTGTGCGTCTGGGTCCTTAGTAGGAAGGCCGTGCTTGTCACTGATGGACAGACGCTGCTCCCAGACACTGCTCCCAGGCAGTCTCCTTCCCTGCCCGCAGCCTCAGGGCTTCCTTCCCACCTGTGCTCCAGCCACGACTGGAAGCAGCACACCACAGAAGAGCTGGCATGGTCCACGAGCGTTTGAAGGGCACCTTTGAAGGGGACTGTGTTCTGCCCATGCAACTGAGTGCAATTTAAGGAATGAGAGGGAACTGTCCTTAGCTTCTCATTCCCGTGGTTAGTCTTCTCTGGCTGCTGTGTGGGCCTGCACTGCACCATGCGGCCTCTCGACTGTGGTCAGAAGCTCCTCTGGTCTGTGTGGACTTCTCTGTTTTAAGAGACTGTGGTCTTTCTGTGTTCACAATGAGTCGTGGCATTGAATATCTGCTGCTTCTCTAATGTCTTCCCACAGCTGTGCAGAGTGCCGTGGGGGACCAGCCCTTGGTTTTCCACGCCAAAGTCAGGTCGTCGGGTTACGCATTGCCACCGCGGTGAGTACAAAGCAAAACCGTGGCCCTGCCTCAGACGTGGGTTCAAATATGGACACAAATGGGTCCTTGAGGGTCCCATCATGGAGAGGGGCAGGGTTCTAAGCAGGAGCTGTGAGGTGGTGGTGGAGACCCCAGAAGGTCTGTCCCGGCAGTGGGGGGCACTGCAGCAGCGGAGGTTTATTGGGTCAGCACTGTGTACTGAGCCCCTCCTAAGCCCACCCACTCTGGTGAGTGAGAAGCTAGGATGGGAGCAGGAGGAGTGGGGTGCTGGGAGTGGTGTGGCCCACCAAGGCTGACAGGGCCTTTTTCAGAACTGCAGCACTGGAGCATTGAGGTTCAGGTTGTTCAAAGCCGAAGGGAGAGGTGCTGACTCTGTGGGGTTCACAGTCAAGGAAATGCGAAACGCAGGATGCCTAGACTACAGCTGAGTCTCGCGATCCCCTGGCCCCTCATAAGCCTTGAATTTCTCAAAGGCAAATTGTCTTTCTTTATTGAATGTAGACACCCCCTGCCAAGTCTGGACCCTTTACTTGTCCTTCACATAGTGACCAGAGCAGCCCTGTTACCTGGAAGCATCCTATACGGCCCCTTTGCTTAGAGCACATGGCAGGCCTTGGCTGAACGCCCCTGCCTTGCCAGACTGCTGCCCTCGCCTCCCTGCTCCCTCCAGTCTCCCTGCACGCCCACCTCCACACCCAGGGCCCTGCTCAGGCTTCATCTGGGCCCAAGTCCCAAGCTTCCCTGGTCTCAGTCTCTTCCACTCCATGGCCCTTTCCTGCATCACTCTTTGTCTTTGGCCACAACTGTTTCACTTAGTGTCTGATCCGCAGACCCCTATGCTTGGGGTGACACTTGGCACCTCAGCTTCTCTTATATGACACTTGTAAACGGGTGAGTGGTGGGTGGATGGAGTAAGATGGAGACACGGGGATCTGGGTAGAGAAATGGATGGGTGAAGATATGGAGAGGGATGGAGAGAAGGCTAGATAGAGATGTGGATAGATGGACAGAAGGATGATAAATGGATGGGTGGAGGGTTAGAGAGAGGATTACAGATGGCTGGACATATGGACCAATGGGTGGGTAGGCGGAGAAATGTAGGTGGATGGGTGGAGATGTGGATGGATGGGTAGAGAGGTGAATAAGGATGGAGAAAGGGATGACTGATAGGTGGAGGGATGGATAGGAAGGGATTGTGGATAGATGGAGATATGAATGGATGGATGGAAAAATGGAAGATGGATGTAGAGATGATTGGATAGAGGGGTTGA